TGTGTGTGTATGTGTGTTTGTGGAGAGAGAGAGAGAGAGAGAGAGAGAGAGAGAGAGAGAAACTGGATACATGTCAACCATGGACTTTGTAGATGACAATGTCCTATTACAGTGTCAAAAACATTAGACACTAGCCTGGAGAGATGGCTCAGCAATAGATAACTGTTAAGAATACTTGCTACTATTTCGGAAGACCTGGGCTTGGTTCCCAACACCACATTGAGGCTCACAACTGCCTGTAACTCCTGTTCTAGGGGAGCCGACATGATCTTCTGTCCTCTTTGGGCACTGCATGCACACATGTACATACGTGTGTGCAGGTTCAAACTCAATACACATAAAATAAACATAAATCTTGTTTTTAAATAAAAGGTTAGACACTTCTGTCAGTGTGTTAATGGTGTGTGTGTGTTCTCCTCATTCACAGCTTTACCGTCTGTGATCAGAACGGTGTCTACCATGACAGAATCAATGAGTTCATGTAGCTTTCCCATACAGCCCCAAACACAAGTGTTCACAGTAGCTAGTTCTCAAATACTAAATACACCAAAATCATTCAGAAAATTATACATTTCTGGGGCCAAATTCGAGTTGGAAAAAAAGGGATCCAAAATTTTAGCATGTCAGACAAAGCTCATCATACTCTACCAAGTCACTTTTTTCTTTTTTTAATTAAGAAAATTTTTTATTCATTTTACATACCAATCACAGATCCCCTTCTTCCCTCCTCCCACCTCTCCAGCCTCCCCCCAAAACTTTTTTTTAAAACTAAAAAGAGCCCTAAAGTAGAATGTTTTAAAACAGTAAAATCTTTGAAGAAAGATACGATCTAACAGAAAATGGAATTAAAGAACACAGTGAACGTGCAGAGTTGGTCAGTTTCACAGCAAGGTGAACAGCCTTGGCCATTGTCACGACCTTTCTCGTCACTGCAATGGGTAGAGGCAGGGGCCTTCAGGGAGTAGAAAGGACATATGTGGAAGAAGGAGCTGAGGACTAGGTTAATATGTGAGCCCGTGAGTCTGGGACAAAGGCTGCAAGTCCAAAATACACTCACCGAGTTTAACGTCACCAGGTGGAACGGGCAGGCGTGACCCAGAACAAACATTCAGGATTAAAATCCAAGAATCACATGCAGACTTAATGGCAGGCAAGATTCACTTGTTCCTGCTTTGTGAATTATTGAAAGTAAGGGAACAACCCCCATGAACTCCTTAAAGTGAATTCTGTTGGCTTGGCATGGTAGCTGTACATTCCAAGAAAGTATTAGAAATCTTTTAAGCACTGGGTAATTTTGAATTATTCGGGGAAATCCCCTGCTAGAAAAATTCCAGCTGGAGTGTGTATGCCTACCTTCCTGCCTACAAGAGGACTATATGTATTTTACTACTATAATCTTACTACCTTTCATGTTTTCTTCTGAGGTTTCCTTAACAGTCTAGGTAGAAGCTCGCTTTCCTGCTGGCACTTTGCCAGATCATTTAAAGGTGACTGATTACTTTCCTATTACATTCTGCAAGCACACTGGGATATGGCTACCCATCTAAAGGGATCCCGAAGCCAACAGTCTAGATCTAGTCTTAAAGAAAACCCAGACAGAAGCTTGCCATGAAGCTTCACATTTCACAGTGTCATTCACCTCCTATCGGTGTCTGGATCAATTGATGAAGAATGGGCATATCCTCTGGCATGGTAACTTTCTGACCAGTCACTCCAACAAGCCTATGAGACACAAGTCCATCTGCTGAACCCTTGGATCACCTACAAGGGTCAGAATCCATCACTGCTGCTGTCAATTAATCTTAGGGGAGTTATGAGCCTCTCTCTTGACCAAAAATACTCCATAGTATCTGTAGGTAGCTAGAAGAGGGAAGACATGGCCATTCTCTTTATGCTCATCTCTCACTGCCCTCTCAATGTGGTACCTTTAAAGGATTTCACATAACTTGCTTTTTCAAAACCAAAGAGATGATATCAGAATTTGATAGCCACAGTAAGGAGGGTACTGAGCTAGTAAGGGTGTTCTGCTTAGAACCCTTGTTTCTATCCACTGAGAAAGGAACACACATCACTATTTAAGTTGAAAACATGTATTCTATATCTTGTCTATATACAGCAAAGAGAACATTAAAGAAAACATATAAATAGCCAATACACCTAAAGGTGGTGCTTCACTCGTTAACCATCAGAAAGATGTAAATTACAATGTGGCATCTGATTCACACCTGCAAAATGGCTAAGATGGAAAAGGCAGATAGTGTCAAGTATTGGCGGGAACAGGAAGCATCTAGAACTTCCCCACATATTATTAAGTGTAGATTGGCACAGCCAATCTCGAAAAGCTGATTCACAACACCTGTTAAAGCTTCACCTATGCCTACCTGGATACAGCAACTTTACTCTTAGGTATCTGCCCCACAGAACGAGAACAACAACAACAAAAACAAGCAAACAAACAAACAAACCATTATGGGATCCTCATACCTGGAAGTACATTATGATTCTATTTAAGGAACAATTTTCAATAAGCATAAATAAATCACATAATTTGTTAGGACAAAATGGTCACCTCATGCGGACAGTAAAGAAGGCAGGAACAACTGAGGACCTTCTTGGGGCACTAACAATGTCCTGTTTGATCTAGGCTCACAAATATGGATATAAACTTTGTGAATGTTAATCAAGTTATAACTTTAGTCTTTGTGTTTTTCTATATGTACATTCTAACATTTCTATGCAGATATTACCATTCAACACAGGTTACAAAATTAATATGGATCAGAGTCACCACTTGCCAGTGAGCATTCCATCCTCTCTCATCTTGTTTCTTACTGTGTGGAGTTTAAGAATTGCACAGGTGTTTGGTGGGGGAATGGGAAAGGGATGGTAGCAAACTTCGGATAAATAAATTTGATTGTTCCCCGCCTCTTACCTAAGAGGCTCTACCAGGGTCAATAAATTAGATCATCAGAATCTGATGCCTGGAGATTGTAATGATCTCAGAAGTCATCTCACTTAGCTGATGAGAGCCAACCAAGGTCCAATGATGTCAAGGTAACTAAGTCCATACACCTGACTTGTTGAAAAGTAAGGACAACCTGCGCCTTCCACAGGACAGACCTCAATGTCAGTTGCTTCTTTCACACTTGTGAAGGGGGGAAAACTTTAACCCATTTCATTCTCCTGCCTTAGATGATAATTTGTTCCCGAAAGATCACCTGATGTCTATTCATGAGATAACTGATCTGAATCCTGACCACCCAGAAAGAGCAGAATTCCGAGTACTGAATGTGGAGGCTACATTTTGTAAAAATGAGAAAAACTAGAGACTAAAGGAGCACTTCACACATGAATCATTTCCTCTCAATAGGCCTGGGGTAAAAATCTCTCCAGTTATTACTATTTTTATTACATTTTCAGTTTTTACTTATTTTGTATAGATGGTGTATGTGTGTGGGTTTGTGTGTGGCACAGTAGGCATGCAGAGGTCAGAGGAGTTGGTTCTCTTCTTCCATTAAGTGTGTCCCAGGGATTGAACTCAGGTGACGAGGCTTGGTGGCAAGCCTCTTTACCTACTGAGCCAACTCATAGGCCATAGTCCCCGTTTTAGAGATGAGGAAACTCAGGTACGAGGAGAACCCTACTAGTTGGTGCTGGTTTGACAATGGGAATCTGAGCTTACTGCTGTTAATTGTATGAGTGTTTGGAATGAGATAGTCTAAGGCTCTGTGGTGGAATGAGTAATCTTTGAAGACTTTCAGAAACTGGAACAGGCAGAGAGAGGGAAACACAAGGAAACTGTGCAAAAACAGTAGAAGACTCATTACAATAAAACAAAAACTATGTGTCCATGCATGTGTGAGCACACATGTATGTGTGTAACCATGTCATAACGCGTAGGAAACTGATGAGCCAGTCATCATTCAAATGAATCGAGATTAGTTGGGAATTGCTAACTCATTGTTTTATTTTGTAATTTAAACACACTAAAGAATATAGTGACTGTGGTTATGGTTTTGGCTGGATTTCAGGACAACACTATGTAAAAAGTTGTAACTGAAAAATCTTAACCAGTGAAGAATAGGGGAGCCCTCATTCACTCCCAGTCCACACCCCAAACCACACCTCTTGCTTAGCCAAGCTGCATCCCACATGTACATCCCAAAAAAACTCCCAATTGGGTTTTCTCACATGTTCCTTCTTCTGGCCATGCCACAGCATGATCACCATGTGTCTCTAATACCAACTCTGCTGTCAGTCTGAAGATATTTTTTCAATGTGACATGAAATGAAACCTAGGATGCCATTTACTGCCTTGTATATTTGATTGGATTCTGAGTATCGTTTACATGGATATTCTTGGCCTGGTGTTTGACATAGAAAGATTATACAAAAAGGAAATCATGCTTGTCCCAAGTGCTTTAAAAAGGCCTGCCTCCCCGGGTACCGCATTTATCCTGCTAGTCCACACACACCGCCCCATATTCTAGGAGGATGCCTTCTGTAAGCAGTGCACCACCAAGAGATTTTTAGAAGAAAAACAAAAGACCCCCCCCCCATTCCATCAAGTTGAAGGTAGGTTAACTCTGGCTACTGAGTGCAATTTTAGATTGAAATGCAGTTTTCCCCTTTCGAAGCAATGGAGACGCATGTAGCCTGTTAGATTTATAGAATTCCTGGTCTCCCAAGACTTTGCAAAGCGAATGGCATCCATCAAATTAATTTCCTTGGGGATCGTCTCAAACATGGAGAATGAAAGGGTCCAGGCCATTAAACATCAAAAGAATGCTCTAAATGCTCATTAAAGTTCTATTATATTTTCTTTTTTTTTTTTCAGAGAGCAGATTAGATTAATTCAATTGAGAATATTATATGTATCAAAGCTGACAGTGTGAATGTGTGGAATTGGCTGGAAGAGAGCTTAATGCTGCAGACATCTGTTCATTCAAGTTACACAAAACACGAAAAGCATGAGCTCCATTAGACTGAGGCAGACTTACCAAGCCGGCACACGTAGACACGGCAACAGAGGACGAACTGTCATTTCTGATAAATCCCTGATACAAACACTGCTGCACCTCAGGCTCCCGAGTCTCTGAAGCACCGTCCTTTCCAAGTACCTGGACTATAAAGTGACTGCCCAAGATCGCCGAGGGCGTAAGCTCTAAGTGTAGATCCTGTCCAAATGCTGAAAAGCGGTAATGCAGGCAGCTGCTGGCACCGGGTGCCGAACGCCTTTTCCTGTTGTGCAAAATGTCGTGTGAGATATATGACCCGCCCGAGTCCACTTCTACTGGCGTGACAAAGACGTAATCTGTAATGGAAAAATTAGGCTGTCAGCACCCAGGGCCCACGATGCCAAAGGGTCAATTTCCAGCAGGCTGCCCCAAAGCCCACAAAAAAAAATCCTTGTTCCATGCACCTAACAGCGAAGAAAATTCAGAGAGGCTCGTGTGCACTGCATTCTGTGCCACCGGGCTCTGCCAACCTAAACTCCTATACAGCTACAGCTGTGGAGGGGACTCGGTGGTGAAGCCCTTGTCTAGCATTTAAGAAAACCCTCCCAAACCTGTAAGCTAAGTGCAATTTTGATCAATTTCAAAGATATTTGGGTGAAAGGTCAATATTCTGTCTGAAAAGAAATACAGGGACTCTTCATGTATTAGCCATGGAGCAGCTGTATGTAATTGTTTATTATTCTTACTATTTCTATTATCATTGACAAAATTTAATCAATATATAGCCACAAAGGTTAGTAAGTGGGAATTTTTCTTCTGGGAGATTGTTAGTTTTGTTTAGGTTGAACTGGGGATGGAAACTTTTCTGGCAGAGTTCAAACTGCAAATAACTCACAAAGTGTGCAGCTTCTGATGATTCCTGGGCTCATTAACAAGGGGCAGTCAACTCTCTCTTCCAGTGCTACTACACATGAGAACAGGATGCCAACACTTGGATCTCCTTTACTGTTTCAAGCAGCTTCCACTGGGGACTCTCCTGTTTAATCTGAGGCCTAAAATACAACCTAGGCAGAAACCCGCCTCCAAACCTCAGAAGCATCCTAGATAGAGGCTGATGTTTTAAACTGCTCAGACATGTTGGAGGGGGTGTGGCGGATCAGGGACACCTGGAAAGGCATGTTTAAAAATGCCTTCCCCCTGGCTCCCCTGAGCAGCACTAATTGCTGTATGATCTGGGGGTGGGTGTGTGGGGGGCTGGACAGCTAGGAAATAATTTGCTGTGGGAAAGAGCAAAGTCAGTACACTGCTTTCTTTCACAAAACATTGGAATTGAAAAGCATCGTCCCAGAAGATGATGTGGAGCATGCCCTGTGCACATTTAAAAAAAAAAAAAAGTTCTGGGTTTCCACTTTCGAGGCACAGAATGGGAAACTAATTTGGAAAGTGTTTAGAAAGATTCCGAACAACTAAGAGGCATGTTTGAGTCACTTGGGTCCTTGGCTCCCAGAGGAGAAAAGGAAAAAAAAAAGAGAGAGAGAGAGAAAAAAAAAAAGGAAGAAATTTCCCTTCACTGAACAGTCAACAATAATGAAATGAAACATCATTTAGGAGACGCTAAGGAATCAGGAAGTCTTACAGTGTATAGGGATCAATACGCAATATTCTAATTAGGCTGACATTAGCAAAGAAACCCCAATCTTACAATAATGTGCCCTGTTTCTTTCTGGACCACTTGTGACTTTTTAAGGCGTAACCAACTCTTTATGGCTCTTTTCACTCTCTCTCTTTTAAACTAGAAATACCCTATCATTGCCATATTTTTCAGAAAATGAAAGGAAAAATGTGTTTCCCTTAAAATTGAGCAGGACACGTTTTAGTTCTCAAAAATTCCTGATATGTTGCTCTGCAGGTATGTAGCCTTTGATTAAAGCCAGCCTTTCTTGCTTTCTTTTTTTAAAGAGAAAACTTATTTTCTCCATCTACCAGAGTCAGAGCTGACTACATAATAGCCATTTCCGACATATGTTCCAGACAGTTTCTACAGTTAGTGTTTCTTACCTCCTCGTGCACAGCCATCTGAAACTCCACCTGCACTTACCAGGGAGTGTTAGCCAGCCATCCCAACCCCTTATCCCCTACCCACCCCAGACACCTGCTATAAGCTTGTTTCCAAAAGAGGAGCATAAAGGTTGTTGGTTACATTCAGTCCTGTTTGGGAAAGGGGGCAGTGAGAGGTCCCTTGTAAAGAATGATGTGCTGTGTCAGTTCAGGTGCTAACAGGGGCTGGGAAATGTAGCTGAGTGGGTGGAGTTCTTGACAAACATGCTTGAGGCTCTGGGTTCAATCCTCATTACTATATAAACCAGGTGTGTTGGACATTCCTGTGAAACCAGCATTAGGGAGGTGGGGGAAGGAGGATCCTAAGGTCAAGGTCATCTTCTCTGTAGCTAGACTACATAAGACCTGTCTCCAAAAACAAAACAAATAAGTCCTTATAGGCCATGCTTGGAAGAGAAGGGCGTGCTGGCCATTAGATCCTGGTGAATAGGAGAGAAGTTTTAGAAACTTCTGACTGACTCTGAGTGGACAAAAGGTAAATTTCACAAGAGTGTGCTGCTGGGTCTCTTGTCCTCTCACTACCCATTCATTCTCTGCAAGCCTTTGTCCCTAATTCTCGCACCTTCCAGTCCCAGAATGCCTCCTTGCATCTGGACAAGAGGACTCAAGCCTACAAAGATGACAATTTAGAATCCAGAGAAAGCCATGTTGGCCAGTAAAGTCTTGCTAAAGAGCCCGGAGCAAACATGAATTGTTCTTCTGCAGCTGGTGGGAAACGCTGGAAACAAGGGTTTCCCCCTCTGGGAGTATCGCAAAGTTAATAAATGAGAAAAGGTCGAGTGTACTCTGGACCTTTGAAGCCGGGGGACTTAAGAGACAGAAAAAAGGACTTAAAACACCTTGTACTAGCGCTTTCCACCAAAAGGCATCTTTGGGTGTCCATGGTACAATGTCAGTGAAGAAAGAGGGGAAGGACGATGGGAAAGCGGCAGGAGGGGAAACGGGGCGGGGGTCACCCCCTCTCAGCCTCAACTAGAGTTAGTTTCTGTGGCTTTCTCAGGGGAGGAAGGAAACGAAGGAGCCTTTTTATCAATTCCCTACTCGGTGCCCACTTCCTTTCTAATTTCTTACTTAAGTGTGGATTATTTTTCTTAACAAGCCATCTGTGAAGGAGGGAAATTGTTTTCTCATCTATGTGACTCGCGGCATTGATTTTTCTGATAACTTCACAGACCTTGCCACGTTTCCCCTCTCCAACCAGGGAACTTTTTTTTTTTTTTTTTCAGACAGCACACACCTGCCAGGTTAGGAGGTGCACCTTTTCTAACATTTCTTTCTCTTGAACACAAAGGGGACAGAGTGTGAGGGGCGGGGGAAGCCCTTGAGGGATGGTGGGAGAGAGAGAGGGAGAGAGAGAGAGAGAGAGAGAGAGAGAGAGAGAGAGAGAGAGAGAGAGAGAGAGAGAGAGAGAGAGAGAGAGAGCGAGCGCAAATACGAACCATCATTTAATCCGCTGCCACCGCTGCTGCTGTCACTGGCTAAGGCGACGGCCACCGAAGCACAGCAGAGGCAGCACAGCTGGAGCGCCTGCAAGAGAGAAAAAGGTGACACCCGTGTGTGAACAGCGCGGCTCCCAGATCCCGGCTGTGCGGCGCGCCCCTCGGTGGTGGCACCTGCCTTGGCCAGACGCCGTAGTCCCGCGGGGCCCCATGGCGGCCCGGGACCGGCGGCCCGGAGGGCGCACGCGAACAGGAGGGCGCACTCCATGGTCAGGTGCGGACGCGGTGACTGCTGGAGGCGCGCATTGTCCCCGAGGGCCGCCGAGCCCCAGGTGCGGCGCCAGGTGCGAGTCGCCGCTGCGGCTCACATGGCAGCGCTGGAGCCTGTGAGCCTCCTCCCTGATCCGACCGCGAGAGCCTGCGACGCTTCGGGGTACAGGGGTCTCCCAGAGCCGGGTCTGCAGCGCCCGTGGTAGGGAAGCTCTGTCGGTGATGCCCGCGGGTCTGCTGCGCGCGTGTCGGTGTCGGGGTGATTGTCTGCGGCTCGCGCAGAGCAGCGCCAGCTGGCTCCCCCAGCGCGCCCGAGCCTAGCGCCCGCCTCTCCTCCGCTCGGTGATTGGCGACCCGAGGCTTCCCTGGGCTCGTCCAAGCTCCTGTACTGCAAAGGGCGTGGGATTCCTGGGCCTGGGCTCCGAGGGAGGGGAAGGAGGGGGCGGGGAGGCCGGGTGGGAGTCAGGGGAAGGGAGGGACCGACGCACAGCTAGGAGAGGGAGGGCAGCGCTCAGGGTCCGCCTTGAGATACTAGCTTAGGGGCATAGAGATGAGCTGAGAAGCTGGAGGTTCAGGTAAGGGGTGTGACTTCTGGACAAGTCTTTCGGTGATGGCGAAGAAACCCAGGGTTCGCTGGAAACTTTCTGCAGTTTTCTCTTTTGCCGCATCCCCGGCCCTACCCTGACCAGGTGGGAATCCTGAACCTTTGATAAAGAGATGTGCAACCTGAAGCTTGGATGCACTCTAGATCACCCAACTGCCCAGAATCCCACCAGTAACCATGATATCTAGGACAGCTTGAATTCACTGTAGTGAATAGCTAGTCACTGTCCCCAGTATCTGAAACAATCCCCAACCCCTGTTCTGAGGTGGCCTTCTCCAGGCTTTCTCTTCTACAAATTGAATCTTGTCCCCAGACACCCAAACCTCTCTATATTGGCCCTAAGAAACAGAGCTTGCCATGGACATGAGGTGCCTCCTATTCTGTATGGCTATTCATTTACTCAATGCATTTATTTGATTCTTTTGATCGCTACAGTCTGCAGTGAGGAAAAAAAAAAAACTTTTTAACAGGCCAGTGAGAAAGATCTTAATTGGGTAGCTCAGCTACAGCAAAACAATAATAGAAGCGTGTGATCACAAATACCATGAAAGTGTATGAACAGGATCTTAAGCAAGACAGACTCTAGTTGGGGTATGGGGGACTTGTCAGACATGAGACATCTCTAAGAGATGCCACGGGGTTGGGGGGAAGCCCCAAGCAGTAAGTCAGTTTTACAAGAAAGAGAGGACTAGGATTTACCCTCTAAGAGAAAGGCTACAGCACACATGAAGCGCTTTTGAAGCAGAAAAGGTGTTTGCCATGGTGGAAGCATTAAACAAACCAGAGACAAAACCATCAGGAAGCTGGATGAGAAGGGTCCTGTAGTGTTGGCAGAAGATGTGTAAAGCATGCACGTGTGCAGGATGCAGGAAGCATTAGATTTCTGTGACTGTGTGTTGTGTGAAGGTAGTAGGCAATGTTAGTTCCAAATATCAGCCAATAGGAAGCCTGCTGAGCATGCAGACAGACCAGAGGTACCCAGGCAAGTAGAGGGAAGAGAGCTAGGTTACTGTCGCCAGCATCAGACTGCAAAATGATAGAACTTAGACCAGGGATGGTAGCAAAAGGAGACAGCCCTGCTCAGTCCCCTGAATACCATTTAAAAGAGGTCCTTGTCCATCTGAGAAAAGGTGATAGGTCAATATGCATAGTCTAGTTCATTGAATGCAACAGCAAATGATAAACTTGGACTGTAGAGGCAAATGTGCACATATCTGCTGGAAGGATGAAGCATGGTTTCAAAGTGAGAAGAATCAGGGTTCCGCAATCACTAGGGGTTTCCTAGGGCCCCTGTCTTAAAATATGTTAAACAGGAATCATCATGTTATATCTAAAGGGTATCCTAAGAACTTAGTATATTTTTCTAAGCATTTCATAATTACGATTTAAAAGAACAGAATATTTCCATTACTTTGTATAATATGTTATGTAAAACTTACATATGTATCAAAACTGCCTATGACGCTGAGCCAGGATCCATTAGGTATAGGACCCAGAGGTGTGCATCCAGCAGACTGTGACAGGGGTGACTTAATGCATTAGGTGACTTCACCAAAGAACTGGACACTAAAAGAAATTAGACATTAAAGGCATGCAGTAAACAATCACCCCACCCACCATGTCACTAACCATTAGACTGAACAAAACGGGAGACTGAGGTCAACAATGTTGTAAGTAACAGCACCAAGTGAGCACCAAAGGAAACTGGACGGACACTTGGCCTGTCCCCAATCACCTGGTAATAACTGTGCCCCTGGCGAGTGTTCTTCCGCAGACTCTGACGAGTTTGCAAGAAGTTACTCACATCCTTTCAGGCCACCTCTTTTTGTGGTTAAGTTCAAGGCTAGAATCCAAGGCTCATAGCTAGAGGGAATATAGTTCATCCTTTCATGAAAGGTAGGCAACAGGTTACATTGTGTCCAGTCAGGAAGCAAAGAGATGAATGTTGGTGTTCAACTCATTATCTCTTTTTTATTCAGTCTCAGATTCAACCCATGGATGGGTGCCAACCTCATTTAAAGTGAGTCTTTTCACCTCAGTTATTAGCCCATCCTCTAGATTGCTAACTGCCACACAGACATGCCCAGAGGTTTATCTATCAGGTTATTCTAGATCCTGTCAAATCATCAGGCAATCTTAACTAACATGGGGCGGCGGGGGGGGGGGGGGGCAGGAAGGGAGGGAGAGACAGGTCAAACTTGCAGATGTTCTCAGACTGAGGGTGAGGGAGGGCTTGCCCCTGTGAGCACATGAATGAACAGTGTAGTTCCTAATCTTAGTCTTCTCTCCATCAACATGGAGTCATTAAATGCTCATCCATTGAGGCCCTCAACCTCCTTATGAACCGAATGGGGTGGTTCATCTCCCTCAGTGTCTTTCCAGTTCTTACAATCCAATAGATCTCAGTCTTCTACATTTTAGTTCAGTTTCCGAGACTTATTTCATATATCACTGCAGATATAGCAATCAAAATTCCTATTGTATTAATTTACATATGATAGTGTCCAATCTCTCCTGCAGGGTTGATATACAAACATTTGCAAAGCCTTAACTTCTGGAATGACTTTATACATTCAATTTCCTAAGAACTGGGCCTGCAATATGTTCGCACTACCTCTAGATGGTGACAGAGGGTCATCAGCCCAGGATTCAGCCTTGAAGCTAGGGATATTTTGGAGCACTTCTAAGTCATTTGAAAAGACTTTGGAATTTTTAGCTTATTTTAAAACTGAAATCTAAAACACTGTAATAACTATTAAAGTTCATAATGAACCAACAGATTTTTTTTCAATCTTAGCCCAGAACATGGCACGCAGATGGTCCTCATATGTGGAAGAAGAAAACGGGGAAGAGCTAGAGACAAGGAAATGGGAAACAGGAACATTTGACATAAAGAAAAAAAGATTTAATTTCTTTCTCATTACCCTTGCTTTAAAATCAATGGTTAAAAAAAAGTTGGTTTTATTTCTAGTGACATAAATTTAACCTTCTTATCCTGCAAAGCAATATTTTTTTGGTAATATACCGTCTGCTGTCCGGGTCAAGGAATATGAGGCAAACTCTGTTCTCTCCTTATACTTGTCGCTGTCCCTGATCCATAAAGATGCATTATCCTTCCCACAGAGTGAAACATTCTCATCATGGTTAGCTTTCTGAGCTGGCCATCTCTTGATTTTGTTCTCTCCCACAGGCACAGTGAGGGACACTGCTCCCCAGCCTCTGAAAAGCTGCATCGAACACTTTGTTAGGTTTTAGTGAGCAGTTGTGTATCTCACGTTTCCTGTACTTTCATCTCTTGAGGAAAATCTCACCATCTCCGAGTAATGGAAAGGATAAAGGATAAGTGAAAACAAGACGTATTTCAGCCCAATAGACAAAGGAAGAAGAAAACCCGGACATGGGAGACTAGGCAGATGTTTAGTAGAGCACTTGAGTGGGGGCCTGATTTCAGATCCCCACAAACGCTATAAAATACTAGGTGAAGTAATAGAATGTTTGTAATAGTGTACTCGAAGATTGGAGGTAGAGACAGGAGGATCTCTCAAAGCACACTAGACGGCTAGCCTAGAAGATGTGCCACAGTTCCAGGCCATTGAGAAACCCCATCCCAAACAGAAGGTGGGAAGAATGGAAAGAGCTGGAGGACATCTGGGATTGTCTAACATTTATGTGTGCCGTACATACATGCACCCATACCAATGAGCATACCACTACATGTGAGTATACACATAACAATTCTTCCCTCTCCCATAAAAAAAACATTCCACCCTGATATGGATACACTCCCTTGGAGACCTGGGAGGTAGGATTACTTCCCATTCAACATCTCAGAAATGGGGCACAGGTAGGAAAGTTGTCTTCAAAATCAGTGGGGAGGGAAGAGAGTTTCTGATTCTGCCTCCTCTATAATCAAATCATCCTGAAAGATAAGGAGCACAAAATAAAGGATGCAATTCAAGCCGATTACAGCAGCCTTTTACAATAACTATTAGTAACAGTATGGGAGATAGAACCTCAGGGTCTAACAACTAATTTTCTAACGAGGGGTTATCCAACACAATTCAGGGAGTCAGGCCTCGGCATGTAGGCCTGTAATCCCAGCTACTTAGGAGGCTGATTTGAGGGGTTGCAAGTTCAAGGCCAGCCTGGGCAATTTAGTAAGACCTGATCTCAAACAGTAAGAAGAAGGTAGAGGGTGTGACTTGGTGGTAGACCACTTGCCTTCCATGAGTGATGCCATGGGGTCTGTCTTCTGCTAGGTCCTACTCTCCAGTCAACTCATGCTCATGACTTAGGGATTCCCAGTGCATCTTGCTCACCTTCAATTTGGCATTACATTTTATTTTCTTAGTATACAGACATTGAACCAGGGTTCTCCAGTTACCTGTATAGAAAGTTCCCCCACCCCACCCCGCTCCCTTTTTTGTTGCTGTGGGTCTTACTCTGCGTGCGGTATGCTTCCTTCCCTACTTGTATTTTTAGGCCTTTCCCAAGCTCTACCATTGAAAGTTCCTTGTTTGCCAGAGGCTAAAGAGGTAATATTAAAACGGGGCTGCTTATTTCCACAAATAAATTCAAGGCCAAGTTCCGAGCTTGTGGAAGAGTAGAATACGTACTTTTCAAAAGCTCTGGAAAATATCAAGCCACCTAGGAAGGACAAATAACTTCTGTGTATAGGCACCATTCTCTCCTTCTTACCCATCATGCACCAGGGGGAGTTTAGACATCAACTCCCCCGGAGCCTCAGGCCTGGAGCAGTGGGGACTGGCAACCACCATTAATCAGAATCACCTGGAACAATGTTGTAACTATACATTCTTGGCATCACTGTGAATAGTCCAATTAAGTGTGTCTGGGTTTCCGATGTAACTAAATATATTACAAAACAGTAATTGGGACCCACTGTACTTCCACTTCTGTTTGGATGCCAGCGCCACTTCCTACTGTATAGGATTTAAAGCTTCCGGATTCCCCCTTTTCTGTTTACACATGCAGAGAAAGGCTAGCACTGAAGAATATGGGAAAATGGAACAGAATTCTTGCTGTAGCACAATGTGATATGATGAGTGGTAAGGAGTGATACCTGCGGTTTGTTTGATTTGATTTCGGGTTTGGAGAGAGTGATTCATACTCTCAAATTAATTAATTAATTATTTCCTTTCTTTTAGTTTAATCTATATGGGATGCATACTAAATCTATATGACATGAAAATTGTATTTTGGGGAGAGAGATAAACATCACACATTTTGTCTCTTATTTAGAATCTAAGTTTATACACACACACATACACATGACACTAAATGCTTAAGTGGAACTTTCAGGGGACAAGCAAGGAGGAATAAGAGAGGGCAAATGGGTCAGTGAATATGTATAAAAATGTCACAATGAAACCCATTGTTTTTATCATAATTAAAGTACTTAATTATCTATATATAGTAATACTTTCATGTTGGACAAAAATCATTGGCCCAAAAGGTAGACTCAGGGAAGAGCTGCTATATATAATCTTTCACTGGTATTGATCTACCCAATTTTATACTTATTCATTTACTGAGTGGTAGTGGTGGGGCTGTTGGACATGTGTATGGAGATCAGAGGACAACTTGCAGGAATCTGCTCCCTCTAATCACTATGTGAATCATGGAGATTGAACTCAGGTCACCAGACTTGTTGACAAGCCCCTTTATCCACTGAACCATCTTGATGGATAACCAGCATCCTTTTTATGTGTGTCTACTACCTCAGGGCTCATTGGAAAGGTTGGGCAAGGCAGACAGGTACTACCTTTCACTTCTTTCCTACCTGCAATGAGCTCCTAGTCACAGTCACATTTCCTTAAAATAAAAGTGCAATAGAACCTAAAATTAATGAATAAATATAGAGAAATAGAAAGTGTTCAAATGCAACCATTAAAAATTCTAGACAGATGGAGTCAGATAAAATAGCGAGGGTGAGCCAGCCCCTGGTACAATTTATCTTCTTTAAAGAGGAATAGCATTTGAAGGTGCTGGAGCGGGGCACAGTGACTAACAACACTTGTTGTAGAATATTATTTTAAGATGTGTTACATTTGTTTATGCTGTAGTACATTTGTTTAATGATGCAAAGATGTGTTGCATTCTTTTATGTTGCATTTGTTTAACTCTGTGAAGCTGTGTTACTTTGCCTGTCTAAAACACCTGATGGTCTAATATAGAGCTGAATGACCAATAGCAAGGCAGGAGAAAGGATAAGTGGGGCTGGCGGGAGAAAGAATAAATAGAAGGAGAAATCTGGGAGGAAAAGAAGAAAGATCAAAGAGCGAGAAAGGAAGGAGGAGGACTTCAGAGGCCAGCCACCCAGCCACCCAGCCACCCAGCTACACAGCAAGCCACTGAGTAAGATGGAAAGAAAAGGTATACAGAAATAGAGAA